TGAAGTCAGTCTCCTATGCCCACGCCGTAAAGGACTTCGCACTCCTGATGCAGTTACCCACCCAGAAGAGAAACAAGTAGCATTGTCTGAAAGGTGTGTTGGATATGCCCGAGCTGCAGGTCCTATAAGTTGCATAGCCCATTGCAGTACATTTGGAGCCCTTGCCAACCGAGCACAACTTAGGAGCTGCCCAACCAGGGCTGGTCAAGATAAAGGGCAAAGATTAAAGTCAATCTGTAAAATTCAGTAGTCAATCGTTGATTTCTAAATGATGATGATGATGATGATGATGACGAATAGTAATAATAATAAGAGCATTGATATGCATCTCCCTAAAGCAAGGGGTAATACAAACATCATTGGAGTTTCAAGCAGCCACTTGACTCTCCTAGTTCTCTAATTTGCTCACCCTACTGTTAAAATTCATTTTCATTCTGTTGACACCCGCCAAACATTGGCAAAGGAAGGGATCCCAAGGTGTCCCGAATTCAAGAATTAACTTTCTTATACTTTGGCTCTGGGTTATTTCCCCCTTGTAATGTCAACATTGGAGTTTTCATTTTTTAAAAATCAACCAAATCCAATTGTTTGTAGAGGGAGAAACAGAGTTGCAAGGAGCATTTAATTTTTAATGTTTGGCACCGTAGGAGAACAGTCTGGGACAGTGCAAGAATGACTATATGGTGTTGCTTGGGAAGCACCCACAAGTTCTTTGAAACAGAATTTGGAACAGCTGGACCACTGCAGTGTTTTATTTTAAAATAGACAACATATGTAATGCATATGGTCCTAGACATGTATGGAGACACAGGCAGACAGTCTGAACGGTAGCCAAAGACACCTGCACCTACAATTCTGTTTCCTTCTATGAGATTTTTCCCCCTAAGAGCACATGTTCCCACTTTGGGATTTGCAAGATGCCATCTGAATCCCCATGTGTGTGACTCCTTATTCAAGTCAGTGGGAAGTTTCCTGGGGTGGAAGTGTCAGAATCAGTCCATTAGTGAGCACCTCCGAAGGGCCCAGCTCCTCCGGGAGCTGGCAGGGGAAATTACAGATCAGAAACTTACCCCCGAGGAACACATTACCCACCAAGGGAATCCACAGAGAAACTGGAACATACCCAGCGAAAACACAAAGACAGGACCTAGGACAGTGGTTCTCAACCTTCCTGATGCCTCGACCCTTTAATACAGTTCCTCATGTTGTGGTGACCCCCAATTTCATTGTTACAAATTGAACATAATTAAAGCATAGTGATGAATCACAAAAACAATATGTAATTATATATGTGTTTTCCGATGGTCTTAGGCGACCCCTGTGAAAGGGTCCTTCGACCCCCAAAGGGGTCGCGACCCACAGGTTGAGAACCGCTGACCTAGGAGTTGGCTATCCAGGGGCCAGGAGGAGCATAAAGCGGAGCGATTGGAAAGGACTCCCAGCTTCAGAGCAACAAAACAGTTTAAGAAGCAGCCTGTGACTAACAGGAGCTTTAGTTTGGAGACAGCCTTCACTCCCTAAGCACATTAAAAAGATGGCTTTGGGAGCACGAGGACGCCTGTGCATTCACTCACAGGGCCAGTGGACTGAGCACTCACCCTGTGCCAGGCCCCAGGTGCTTCCCCGCCCCTTCTCATCGAGCCTCTCCACAGCCCCTGGGGGGAGACTCAAACACTAAGCTCAGCGCACAGGGGAGGAAAATGCCACTCAGAACTACGAACCTGCCTGCCTCGCGTCACACTCAGAAAGGCAGAGCTGGCCTCAGTCAGTCTGGGAGCCCCTAAGCCCACCCACTTAGCCACCTGCTATTTTAGCTTCAATAAACTTGTTCCCGTTGAATTTAGTGTGTCAACATTCCAAGAATTCAAGAAACAGAAAATTCTTGTTGAAAGAGTGCATTTATTTATTTTAATGAAATAAACTCATTATATTAATATGCATGTGCTAGGTACTAGTCTAGGTTCTGCGAATATAATGAGAACAACCACACACACACACACACACACACACACACACACACACACACACAATCCCTGCTCGAAAGGAACGTAAAAATCAGATCCCTTCCACTGACATCTTAAAACAGTATTCCCGGCCTCCACTCCCCTTTCTCTTTTCTGAACATAACAAGCTCAATGAAACCCTCAAAGATTCCACAGGAGCCAGCCACCCTTTTGAGTGCTCTTGAGTTGTTGGAACCGTTATTAAGATAAGGAGCCTGATTCCGAGTAAATGACGATTTTGTGTAAGCAAAACCCAGGGGCTGCTCCTTTTGCTTGCTAGAAATTGCCACTCCATTCAGTTCCATCCCACACATATAGAAGGTGTGCGAGGGATCGTAAGGTGGCCAAACGACCGTGACAGCAGAAAGGGAACTGAAAGCTCAGCTCGTTTTGCACAGGAAGCAGAGGGTCAGAGATCGCTCAGCCAGCAGCCGACGGCTATTTGGTAACAGAACTTGAACTTGAATCCAGACCTCCACACCCATCCCAGGCTCATCCTACAGGAGGACTCAGAGAGAGAAAAGAAAGGAAGATGGGGAAAGGAAACTGTATGTGAATAGGGTTACTTTCTAAAAAGAAAACCAGCTAAAGCCTGTTTTCCGGGGAGCCGGTGTTGAAACATAAACCACGATTGTTCGTCAGATGTGCTCTGGGCCGAGTTGGCAGGTGAAGGCGCATTGTGGTGGGTGGGGAGGCGGCGCGGGGATCTGCATCCAGGTCTTCGCAAAGGAGCCAAGTGGCCTTTTCAGACCGTTTCCTGAGTGGGCAGCAGGCAAAATAGTTCATCGCGAAGTTTTCAAGAGGTTCAACCCAAAAAGACAGAGTCAGCGACATGAGACACATGCCATATTTTTACCAGCTACAAAAGAGCCCCCTTCTCTTTGAGCTAAACGACGGGGGGCACCATCATCATTGAAGAGCAATAAAGTAGCTGAGCCAAACTGGCAGAGAAAGGGCCGGGCCGATGTATCAGCTTGCAGCCTCCTTCTGAGAAATCCCAGAGCAGGAAGCTGTGCTACCTAAGAAATGCCTCGTCTGTCTGTTCCAACGGGGAGGCAGGGCCGGGGGTGCCACCGGATGAGCCATCCATGCACCCCGGTTAGTCTCTCCTGAATTAAAGTGGCCGATAGGATGCAGAGATACCCCTGGATGGCAGGAGTGCCATTCTGTGGGGAGGGGGGACCTGAAGTCGGAGCAGCTTTAACACTTGTCTTGGGCCAGAGGAGGCACCCCCCCCACACACACACACACAGATGCACGCACACGCTGGAAGCAGCCAGCTTTTGTCCCCAGCACCAACTTCTTGGCCACCTCTCTTGCCAACCACCCCGAGTCAAGGGAGAAAGTAGCTTGGAGACCGAACAACCAAATAAAAGAATCCTAAACACAGCACCTAATCTCCCATTGAAAGCACTTCCTTGAATACAAATCTGACAATGAACAGAGCAATGAGGATTCTTTCAGATCCTCTAATATAATTTCTGCACATGTGATATTCCCTCTAAAAGCCTGTGTTTCATCCTCCGAACGGAGCGATTTGGCTATTAAAATACTCCTTCTTCACGTGCCTTCTGGAAACCGTAGCTTCTGGGCATCTCGGGCACAAACAGCACACGCTGCTCAAACACTGACCACTTGCTGCTTCTGTGAAAAATGACTGAGGATTTGAAAATTCTAACAATAAGGAGGCATACATCTAACATTCCACGCATACATTGCTTAGATCCACAAAATCTATAATGTGAGGAGAAATCATCACTTTACATAAATCGTCATCTTAAATCATCATCTTAAAGTCACACTGCTACCGTAACCCAAGTTTGCAGCCATTCCCCAGGCATGGAAGGGGGACAAAGCTGCCTGGAATGAAGGCCACGTATGAAAATATCACCCAAACACCCTCTCAAGTCAAACATCGATTTTCCCTGTGTCCTGACAGCGTTCCTGGTCCCTGGCAGGCCCCCGCACTCCAGTAGAACAGCGCAGGCAGGGAATGAATCAACTCTTGCTTGATTTGAAACAAGATTCTTTTTCTCCACAGTCTGCATATCAGGAGAGTGAACACATGTGAGGTGGAGTGAGCTGACTCCTTTAATGTCTCGGACCTTCATTCCTACCTCGTCAGGATCTGCTTGGATTCTCTGAGTTCTTTTGCCGATTGAGTGTAGAGTATTTTTGTTACACATATTGAGATTAATTAGTTAGCCCCTAGGAGGTTTTGCCTACAGCCTTCACCCTGTAAGGAAAAGTGTGAATACATTGAGATGACTAAATCACAATAAATGGCAGATCACAGCCCTTGTGGAGTACATTGGTTTGTCTCTCCCATAGGCTTTGCTAGCTGAGCACACACACGCAAAGGCAATGCCCCCGGCTACCCCAAACTAAGTCCTCTTTAACTTATTCTCCAGGTTTCAATGAAAATCTTTTGTTATTATTATTATTTTTTTTAATTTTGGAGGGTGGGGACCCAAAACTTTTGTGAAACCAAATTGGCAGTGGGGCCCTGGAAGGGGTGGATACAAATATTGTCACTTTGCTGAAAATCAGCTTAACCCTTTTCCAGATAATCCCAATAATTGTAGAGAAATTGCTCTAGACATAACCACTGGAATGGCAGAATCTATTAAAAACCTACAGAGCTAAATAGGCTTTTAGAAGCAAAGACCCGATCTGCTTTCAGTGTTCGGTGAAAAGCAGGTGAAGTTACGGTCGTGTGCTTAGTCTCTAAAGAACGGCATAAAGGCACTGGAGTTGTGATCATTTGATAAACATATTGATGCCAATATATTCTTGCCTAAATGCAATAAACTCACCAGTAAGTGATGCAAGTTGACAATGGGAAGGTACAAGGAATATCTGGGGGGTGTCGGTGGGAGGCGATGGGAAACAGCTAGTGTTTGTAATGCCTAGTGAATTCCTGTGTATTTGAAATGTCAAAGAAAATGTGATGTGTTTCTCTAAATTGTGTCTCTCTCTACATGTATAAATGAACAGACGCAGATAGAGCTCAAAAGCATGGCATGGATGAATTTATCTCGTCCAACCCCTGTAACTTTGACCACGCTTCCCTCTTTGAGATGGTGCAACGCCTTACTTTGGATCACAGACTTAATGATTCCTATTCTTGCCTGGCAAGTATATTCTTTGGTCTACAGCAATTTAAACACGATGACATTTTTTTAAATGAAATATTTCTTTACCTTGCTGTTAGGAGCTCTTTTCTCCAGTACAGAGCCCCTTTAACAATGATCAATGTGTCCTTGATTTCCTGGGTCGAGGTAGTTTTCCTTCCCAAAGAAAGAAGTCGGCAGGAAGTTGTCAGTAGAGACGATCCAACTCCCCAGCCTCCCTATCCGAGCTTCCCCCTTTTCAGCTGCTACATGAGAAATGTTCCCAAGAGGGTAATCGAGTTTGGCATCTGCTGGTGGAGAACTTGTAAAACCCGACTCGGTTTCTAGACTTGAAGATCTGCCTCCCTCCCCATCCCAGAGTAGACCCTGTGCTCCTGTCTCTGAAAGGGATGTGTCCTTTCCGTTTATTTTTGAAAGATTAAAGTGCTTTGTAAACACACTCCACTTGATTTCGCATGAGCTCAACTGGTTTGGGTTTGCTTGGGTGGGTGGCTGCTTTCTCTTAGTGGTATTTAGAGCATTTCACCCTTTGGGGGAAGTTTTTATGACGCGTTAGGCGTTTGGAAGTCCAGCTCCCAGCAAGGGAGCTCGTCTCTTGCAATCCTGTTTTAAGCCCAGAGTTAAATCGGTTACATTCAAGAGACTGCTATTATGTCGTTACTGGATTCCCGAAGAGACATTTGTGGCTTTCTACTATCAAAGTTGGAAGCCTAAAAAGGACCCAATTTCTTTTCTTCTGCAAACCATACATTACTTCATTGTTAAAAGGTAAATGTTATGAATTCCACTTTTTAGATGGGAAAGGTGAGGGAAATGATGAAATGACTTTACCAGAGGAAAAGCCTCATCCCTGCTCCTAGGGTTAATATATCTGCAGATTATGAATGTGATATACTTCAGTAATTAACATGATATACTTAACATGTCATTATATTAACATACATATAATGAAAATATTTTCCTTTTTAAGTGGCATAGCTATATCCTAAATCTATTCCAACTAATTTTTATTTTAAATTCTTTCTTTTTTTCTGTACCTGAGGCCAAAATATTAAAAAGAGTAGATAAAAATAGTGTTAAAAGGCAAAGCAGTATTATGTGGAATAATTTATTAATCTGCATCTCATAAAAGATGCATTGATTATCTCAGGTTTGGAATCACTTGATCAGAAGAATCTGAACTTTGCCAAATTGGAAAGGAAAATATCATTTTGACTTAAAAAAAATAAAAAGGAAAAAAAAAAGCTTACCTTGCATTGCAAGGCAATTTTTCTCAAATGTATTTCCAACGATTATGTGATTTTTAGCGTAATTATAAATTGCATACATGAAACTCGTAAGAATATGCCTCTGAACTTTACTCATTATCTTCACATATAATTTCTTTTCTCTTGAAAAAAAATTTTTGAGGTGTATTATTTTCAGGACTTTTTTTACATCATTTTTTAAAACCAATTTTCTCTTTCACTGAGAAATTTATCACCAAGGAGATTTGATTTTCTAAAAAATAAAATAAATAAACCAGAAATAAAATTTTGATTTTGAAACTGTGTTCTATTAGTCATATATAAGCTTGCAAATATGCTCCCAAATCCAGAATTAATTATAATAGCATAAAATTGTTTTCTTCCCCATTTGCATACCTATATCTATTAATCATCATCCCAAAGTTTCAGAAAATAACAGCAATTAAAAAGCCCTATCTCCTGCCTCTCTATTCCATTTTCTCATTATTACAATCTTTTTATTTCAGTTAGTTTTGGAGACCGACCAGCAGGGATACATAAATTTTTCTGTGTCTTCGACTGAGTTCCTAATTGATATTTCTTCAACTCTTTTCAAAGCAGCTATTTTGGCATCTACAAAAGACGTGGTGTCATCCGAGTCGTAGAAAATATATTTTAATCTTTCACAGCAGTGTTGTTTCTAAGATTTAGCATTTGGGGTAGCAGATGGAGTGGCAAAGAAGTTGCCTATAGGGGCAGCCCACTGCCTCGACTACTCTCCCGCCCTCTGCAGTAACTTATCATTTGAAATAGGAAAGATGCCGTCTCGTTGGATGCATTGCTGAGCTGCAGGTTGTCAGTGGAAGAGTCTGCAGATCACTAATATGAGATCGGAGGGTGGCAGAGGCCTCCCTCCCTGCCCTTCTGTGGCCTCTACCTGCACCCTGTCACCTTCTCCTTTTGCCTTTTCTCTCCCAAGACAAAGCAGTATGCAAAAGGTGACTCAGAGAAGACCCTCCGAGTAAAATTAACTTTATATTTAAAACAATCCCAAATTCCCAGCTCACAAACTGCCACCTCGAGTGGTTTATTTCTTGCTTCAGAAAAGTACTGAAACCAACAGAAGTCAGTCATTTGCTTCAGGCTTGGCCCGAGGGTGACCTTGAATGGCAAGGCCCTTGGCCTCTCTGAGCATCTGTTTCCTTGCGTGCCTAGTGCCCCCAATCTGCTCAAGTCAGGGATTCTCTTTCATGGCAGAGTTTCACCTGGTCCTTCAGCGAGCAACTAAATAATAAGACAAATAGTTGCTGGGGGGTGGGGGAGTGCTAAGGCAGAAGCTCCTCTCTGTTTAACTGAACTGTATCTGACTCACTACCTCAAAACTTAGTATGTTATTCTCTTTGGAAAAGTATCCTCATAATTAATAAATTTAATGACAGTTGACATCCAATATATTCTGTATTAGTTTCAGAGGTGCGGTATAGTAGCTAGACAAGGATGTACTTTAGAGTGGTCCCCCATCCCTGACACTTTAAGTACCCAGCTGGCACCATACATAGTTATCACAATATTATTGACTGTATTCCCCCCAAGTGTTTGCTTCCCAAGTGGAGGATTTGTGAAGTCCTGGTGTGCATGCAGACCAGTCACAGTATGTCCTAATGCTCCAGAAAGACGCGGAGTCAGAGCTGAATTCGAGTCCTGCCTCTGTTTGTAGTTTCTCAGTCACTTATTAGCCCTGATCCATTTCCTCGTCAGTTAAATGAAGATGAATCTGCCCTGTCTCCTCCGCGAGGCTGCCCTGGGCTCTGCTGAAAGTTCCCTGTCCAGGATGGAGCACTGTCCCACTCTAAGGCACTCGTGTTTTTGTCTTGTCGGTAATGAAGACTGCCCCATGCCCACTCTGACACTCTTCTCCGATGTACAGCTCAGTGTTGGAAAGTGGGAGGCCCTCTCTGAATCATGCTTTCTGCTGATCAGACACCTCCACTCACCAGCCCTGAGACTAGGAAATGCCATGCGTTCCCACCCATCGCCAGGGCCACCGGCACCTGCTCGCGGGGCTGGGATGAGGTTACACCGACAGCACCGCAGGGGTTAGCACAGCAGCGGGCACTTACTAAGCAATCAGCTCCGGCTATTTTTAACCCTCCACACTCTCCCCCAACTCTTGCAGCCCTCCCGAAGAACAGCAACAACCCGTATTTAAAAGGAAGTCTCTCCTTTATTCCCCAAACAGGGCTGGTTCAGTCCTGGCCAGGTGTTTGTGCTAGATGAGTACTGTGCCCGGAACGGAGTCCGCGGGTGTCACCGGCATCTCTGCTACCTCAGAGACCTGCTGGAGCGGGCGGAGAACGGCGCCATGATCGACCCCACCCTCCTCCACTACAGCTTTGCCTTCTGTGCATCCCACGTCCACGGGAACAGGTGAGCGCCGGCCGCAGGTCCTCCTCCAGGTCATGTTCCTGGTTTCTGCCTGGTCCTGCTTGTAGGGTCACCTCTACCTCTCTGCCTTTCCCCATTCCCTCAGTAGGACACACAGACACAGGGAACACAGAGGGCTGCCTTAGGTTCTTCTCCTTTCCTTTAAGAGACTTAAAGGAAGTGGCACTTGGACTTGGAGAGTGGCCTATGAAATGAGAGCCATCCCGGTTCAGATCATGGCCCCTCCGCTCGCTAGCAAGGGCCTGGCGGTAGTTACAGCCTCTGTGCCACAGTCTTCACTCTGTAAACAGGATAATGATGTCCTAAGCTGGTTGTTGAGAGGATGCCAGGGCACAGAAAGGGCGCAGCACATGCCTGGGATCTGGCAAGGGGTTAAGGTTCGCCTTGCTGTTACCATCACTCTTTCCATAAATATTAAATGATTACCAACGGAGGGTCAGGCACTCTGGAATACATTCAGCATGCACGATGAACAGAAACTAAGCACCAAACAAGGGCAGAGGTGCTCAGAGACCGGTGCTCTGAGAAAAGGGGGTAAAATGTCCTGGCAGCATTTAGTAAAGGAACAGGACTCCGAGGGAGGGGCAGGTCGGCAGCAGGCCTCCTGAAGGAAGCGGTGCTTGGGCTGAGAACTGAAGCAAGTGTAGGAGTTGAGCAGCTCCAGGCAAATGCCCTGCACGGGGAGGAAGCCAAGCCCATTTCAAGAGCTAGAACAAGCAGGTGAAGCTGAAAGGCAAAGATAATCATAGGCTTTTGGTTTAGCCATCGATCTGGGAAGAACGTCAGAGATCACCGTGTGATCAGCCCCTCGTTTTACAGGCTTCATAGACAAGACCAGAGCATCAGTTCTCCTAACTTTGTACAAAGTACTCTCTTCCTTCAGACGTTGCCCAGCTCCTGGAGGAAAAGATCCAAGTTCTGAATAATGCAAAACAGCAAATAATTTAAGAACGTTTGCATTTGGCTCTGAAGACGTGGAATAAATTTCAACACTGCCGCAGCCAGTTTACTAGCCCAATGCATGTAGCCTCCCATGGCTGCAAAGACGAGCCTGCCTTACCCCAGAGCACCCCACCCGGGCGCCAGGGAAGGCACCCCCAGGGGAAGCTAGGTGCTTCAGAAGCCCGGCCTGTGGTGCAAAGGTTGCTGCTCTGGGAAATCCTCATGTGAGGGAGTCCTGAACTGACTGCATTTATTTCAAGACAGAACCCTGTCAGTCGTCTTCATCTCTGCAGGCGATACAACTCAGGAATGTCCGTGGGATCTGCTTCGTGCCTTTCCTTTCTCTAGTGGTGGTGGATTTTATCAAATGCACCTTTAGCATTTAGAGCTAGATAACAATAGCATTGCAGGTTTGCATAGTTAGCGGGCAATAAGGTTTTCATCATCTGCCATTATGATCAGGTTCACTAGCCCTGCATATGACCTTTCGTTTGCACAAAGGATATTTTTGAAAACCTGATACCTGAGAAGTATCTGTGCATAATTCTGCTTTTTATAAATATGTACACTTTGATGACTATCTGTTACAGCCTCTTGGACTGAATTCTTGAGAGAGAGAGAAGTTGCATTATATTCTCTGGGTTGTCACACTGTATTCTACATATGTTACTGAATAAGAAAGTGTTATAAAATAATGAAGTGTTGTTGTAAACTCCCTGGTAAACATCATCATGAATTATGATACACATTGTCTGGATTTCATATTGTAAGACTGCCACTTGCTTCACAGCTAGGTTTATACATCTTGTCATGGAAACAGTTTGGGGTTTCTTATTTTCTTTTCAGTTCTGATTTTCCTTATGCAAGTTTGCATCTTTTTTCCTTATTATTTTGGTTTGAATGCATTTGCTCTTGCTGTTTGATGCATCCTTCTTTTTATTTCTTTTGTTTGTGCATGTGTGTGTGCTCTTGATTCTCCTGTGCTGGCCACTCTCTGTGCATGCCCCGTGCCAACACCCCCTCTCCAAAGTCAACAAATGCATGTGTACCTTAGTGGGCTGCCACCACACACAGACCCTGAAGGGAGCAAAACTCCCTCCCCATCTGAACCAGAGGCTAAAAAAGACACAAAAAAGGAATGTAAAAGAAGAAAAGATTTCAAAACTCAGGCAAACCCAGAGCCCAAAAGGTAAGAAGTTACGTGTGTATTGGCTTGTATTTTGCAATGTCTGTGACCTTCCCCTACACCCTCCCCCATCCACACCACAACCTCTACCTTAGCAAACAGCAAGCTTTTTGTATTCCTGAGGTCTCTTTTCCCTTAAGGTTTGTCAAGAGCACACTTTAAAATAATCCTAGCAATGGGTGAAAATACCATGTATTAGGGCTGAATTTGAGTCAGGTGTTTAGTGATGCTTAAAACATGTTCTTATTTTTAAAAACTAGTTGAGCAATATATAAACAGAATCATGAGTCAGATTGCTGTTTTAGTGGCATCTAGTTAGGGTCCTGGTACCTTACCAAGTCATTCATATTAAGCAACCCGTGATTTATAATTTTGAAATTATGTTTCAAGAGCAAATAAAACGTGTTGGCATAAGATGGGTCTATACATTTATAGCGGCTCTATCGTTTTCAGCAAACTCCCCTCAGTTCCACACTAATTTGTGAAGGAAATTGATCTTCAAATACAATTTATAATAAAGTCACAAAGTAAAGCCTCTTAGTAGAATCACTTATATAATAAGCTCACCCTGAAGGCACTTTTAAGTTCTAAAATTGTGTTTATCCTCTCCTGTTTCCTGTGACCTTTAGGGACATTCTCTTTGTGAATTGATAAAATGGCAAATTAGTGGCTTTTTCCCCCTTAAAACTAGATTTACAATAATTTACTGTGTTACCCCTATGTCCTTCTTCACCTTCCCTATCCTCACTCCAAATTAACACTAATATTTTCAAATGTCTTCATTGTGGTTTTGAAACTGATTTTATGGCCCTGGCTGGCTTTGCCAAGCCATACAGAGATCGCAGGTATGCTTTGTGCATCAGGATAAATTTATCCACTGGAATATTTCTAAGCCCTGAAATATATGCAGTCGTGTGTAGGCAGACAGATGACAATGCCAACTTTCACTTCCTAGAGCAGGTGGCAAGCTGTCCACAGTGTACCCAGGTCTAATAGTGAAGGTCACAGAAAGCCCCGATTCCATGTGGACACCCGTCTTCTGAACTTGCAGTATGTAAGGCTGGAGGAGAAGTGGGGTTTCTATGTGTGCCTCCCTGTGGGGGTCACAAGGCAGGGCAAGCAGTAAGAAAGTGCCTTGAGAATGTGGCAGGTGCCTGGAGACTCTGGCTTCTGTCCAAGGTGCTGCTTTTGGGAGTGATCAGAATTGAAACAGAACAGAGAGTGAATGGTCACCCTTGATGGAACCTGACCTAGTCCCTGGACCATGAAAAATTATCCAAAAGGATCTTGAATGGTACCATGAGAGGATTGTGTGTGTCCTAGAGTCTATGTTTGCCTGCATTTTTTAAAGAAGAAGAAATCATAATATTAAGTATCAGTTATGTAACATTCTGCAGTTTACAAAGCGCTTTTATATATTCTATCTCACTTGCTATAACATTTTCAATTGGGCTATTTTTACATCAATTTTGCAGATGGTTAAACTGTATGAGTCGCTCATGGAAGCAGCAAACCCGGATGTTCTGAGTCCTAAGGTCTTTCTCTTTGCATATATCAGCACTGTACATAGATTTAAAGATCTGAGTATTAGAGCCTGTTCTGTGTATATCTAGGATTATTGTATCTCCTTTCTGTGCCTCAGTTTTCTCATCAACAAAATGGGCACACAGAATCATAGCATCAGTAATATCTCACCAATCTCTAATATCATCTTCCATGGGTTATAATAGCAAATGAAGTAGTACATTGTCAGATTTCATAAATAAGGTTTAATTAAAATAAGGACAGTTGCTGCCATTTGATAAGCACTCACTACATGCCAGGCACTGTGTGGAGTGCTGTTTACATATATTATTTTATTTTATCCTTATTACATCCCGATAAGTGTTATTACTACCTTCATCTAACAGATGAGAAGTTCATGGCTCAGATAAGTTCGGTCACTTACACCATAACAAATGCGTGTGTGTGCCTAATGCAAGCATGAATATTCTGACATGGAGCTTGCATTGCACCTCCCTGCCTTACTGCCTGCCCTGCATTCACACTGTGTACATGTGAGATGCCAGCTTCAGCCCTTTGATTTAAGGTTAAACATCTCAGGTGAGATATATAGCAGTCATGAATTAATTTAAGAGTTTTCCATTTTTGTCCTAAAAATGTCGAAAGTCCATTCGGCCCTCCTGACAATGTTGGACGGTGGAGAAAGCCAGGGCCGTATCTGAAGTGTTAGATCACCCAAGGGACAGTCTCCTTTGAACACTAACCCCAGCCCTTGGTGTGGACCCTTTTCCTAACCTCTGGCACCAGGATGAGCACTGTGTGCATGTAGAGATGTCATCTATTCTTTGACCCAGATTAGGAAGGAATTCATGAGTCATGGGCACAAATGGCCCTTTCACTGGATTTAACTGAACAATAGAACCTATTTCTATTGTCACCTCACAACCAGCTTCAGACTAGATAGTGAGTTGCTCTTTACTTAATTATTAACTTTTTAACCTACTATTAACTCAGCAGCCCCAACGGTGGAGGCAGAGCTCTGGCCTGCTGCAGCTGGAAATCATCAGTGAGTGCCCAGGGGCCGATGACCGAGCTTTTCCCACCTTCCCCGGAAGCCTGTGTCACATCTCTGTGACAACCTGTGCCTGTGTGAGTCCCAAAGGGGACACTCTGGTCAGCCAGGAAGCTGTTTGCCCTCCATCAGCTCATTCACCGCAAGAGGTGGAACCATCCACACGTTTGGCGTCTTTACACCATAGCAAATACGTGTATGAGCCTAACGCAATGGTGGTTCTTGACCCGGCATGATCTTTCCCCCAGGCGACACCTGGCAATGTCTGGAGACATTGCT